GGACATGATGATCCACTGTTGCCTACACCAGAAAATGTATCATATATATGTGAATATATATATGAAGGTAACCCTGTTGAATTCAAAGAACTTTCAGATTACTGATATATGTCTTCTAGTGCTGATACAATACTGCTTCAGTTTGGTGCAAGGCGCTAGGTTAATTTCACAAGCTGAACAAAATTTGTTTTTATGCGGTGCCTTCCATACAAGAAGTATCTCAGTGCAAAGTAAATAATTAAACTTGTTGCCATGCAGTCACTATGTACAAAAACAAAGATATTCTACTGTGCTTTCAACAATAGTTCACACATGCTGTTGATTTTAAGGGGCTGATCCTTCAAGATACTGGGTGCTTCTTGTGGGGCACTGAGTGCCCTCAAACCTGTGACTAAAGGCAAGAGTTGCTGGCTACAACACCTAATGAGATGCTCAACACGTTGCAGAATCAAGCCTAAAACCTATACTATTGAGAGTGAGAATATTGTCCAGCACGCAGGGCCATGGAATGTCTAGCTTCCAGCTGCATGTCCATATGCCTTTCATTAATGTATTACACCCTTTAATGTGATTAGGGTCAATTTTGTTTCTTTATGACACCAAATCTACACTGTTTTACTCGTCTTAAAAGACCAAAGGTGCTGCTTTTGAAGATTTCCATCAGTAATAAATGTGCTTTCATTCTGCAGGAGCTGATGATAGTCTTTCAGCTGCTGCATTGGAATGGAAGCCTTAAAGCCCTACGTGAAACAAAGTGCTCCCGTCAGGTAAGATATTACAATAAGCTCACACTTTGTGACTGGTTTATATATATATATATAACCAGGAACTGAGATTGAGGGATTCAGAGAAGCAAAAACAAATTTGTGCATAGGTGACAGTTGGAAGAAATTGCTGTTCTAAATCATCTCTTGTGATGACCAAACAACAGTCTATTTTGATATAACTAAGGTCAAAGAAAACAAACCTAGGCATAACTATTAGCCTCCTTTGTTTTAATTCTTCTTCTTCTTCAATTATTTAAAGTTTGAGCTTACCCTTCCCATTTTAAGTCCCAAAGTATAATTTATATGGATGCTCCATTTACATTTAGTCCCCAAGTACGTACTGTAACATCTATAAATAAAAATATTTTCATGGCTTTTAATTTTTTTATTAAGTGTTCTTTTTCAACAAAACACCTTCTCCTGCAGTGCCTGAAATCCAAACCCTGCAGCACCAAGAAAGTGAAACTGACTCTAAACAAAACTGACCACTGAAAAGTAAAGTTCTTGAACAGATTTATGTCCCTCGCATTTATCTGTTGCCATTTGTTGTCTAGTTACCAATTGACAAAGATGGAAAATAAATAAGCAGAAAATTTACTGAAATAAACTATACTCTAAACTTCTTATTCTCAACTTCCATTTTTGTGAAAATACTTGGAAATGTATCAGGTTAAATGCTTACATCTTAAAGATAATTCATGCGTCTTATAGAGTATGTTGTCCAAAGAGGGAAAAACTGTTAAAAAAGTTACTTTTCAAAGTGTACTTACAAATATTAACTGTGCTATGAAGAACCTTAAAAGTGTTGGTACACAAATATACTTTCTACTTACAACATTCCTTCTGGAATCACAGGTGACTGAGGGTAGGTCTACGCTACGGGGCTAAGTCAACCTAAGTGACACAACTCCAGCTATATTATTCACCTTAGGTCGACTTAGTCCGGTGTCTGCACAGCGCTGGGTCGACAGGAGAGTTCTCCTGTTGAGTTACCTTATGCTTCTTGTTCCAGTGGAGTTGACAGGAGAGCAATTAGTGGTCAATTTAGCCGGTCTTCACTAGACCCGCTAAATCGGCCCCCGGTGGATCAATCGCTGCTCGTTGATCCCCCGGTAAGTCTCCTGAGGCGGTCTAATTTCCTCTTCTAAAAATATAGTACTCACTCAACGTTACACACTAAACAGTTGCTGTGTGTCATCCCACATGGGGCTGGATTTCAGTAGTGGTTGATGCGATCTCAGTGCAGAGTCTGTATATCTGTTTCAGACCCTGATCTGAAAAGAGCATTCACAAGTACTAGGTCATTACACACATAGGCACCAATCCTACCAATATTTATTTGTGTTTAGCTTTTCACACACACACACACACACACTCTCTCTCTCTCTCTCTCCTCCCTCCTCCCACCCCCCCGC